AAACAAAGAAAGCTCTTTTGAAGCTCTGAGCCCATTGTTAAGCAAAGGGTGTAGTCTACGTATAGCGAACGCTTCTTTAAACAATAGGATAGACCAGTTTCGGGAGCTGTCAATAATGTTAGTACTAGAAAATATTAAACCTAATTTATTACTCACATTACAGACGACATTATCATTTTCAAGTATACCCTGTAATCCTAAAACATATTGGAATGCCTCACAGTTTTTAACATGATCAAATATAACACTATCAGATCGTGAAGAATGTTCTTTAAGTCTAGTTATTAAGCACCTATCTGTCTTACCAATATAATCACTATCTAAGTAGTGTATTAAAATAGTTCTATCATCTATGCATTACACTGCAGTGCAGTAGTACTAGTAATACTCAGGACTAGCATTGTTATAGTTACCATATGAGAGTTTCCTGTGTTAAAAACATGATTTACTATACTATACTTCTTTATAAAACATAACTTGTACTTTATAATAAGAGAAATCTGTATATTATCGGTACCTGGAACAGTAACAACACGAAAGTACTATGTACACTTGCCAAATAATTTGCCAGTTTGCCGCCAGCGTTTCCACTAGGCCAATGTAGGCCGAAAGGGATCTTATACAGTAGATTGTATTTACAAAAAAATTTTGATAATACGAAATGACTCAAGGCCAAAACTATATGGGCCGAAACGACCCGGGGCCGAATCGACCTGAGCCAAAATAATTCAGGGCCAAAACCGCCCTACTGTACACCACATGCCTTTGTCGAAATGACAACACATGTTGTTTGCTTTTCTCACAGTGTTTTATTACTTTCAAGTCAATACTCACATTTCATGGGCAGCAGAAGCAGTTCAGGTGGCTGCCTGACCAATATTTTACTGAGATAAATACATTACTATATTGAAATAATACATTTTGTAATAACAAATTTTTACAAATTTCTCCTACTTTATTTTTTACTTCAGGGACTTTAATTTGTTAAACTATTTTTTATTGAACTGTTCACAATCATAGTGTAAAACGAATTTATATGTCTAACCTTGAAATCTGTGAGTCTTGTTTTAAAATCTGCATAGTAAAACTGGCAAATGATCAATTATCTGTGAGTCCCATAGTGCATCTTTATAAGTTGACAAATACAGTATGCAACAAATACAAACTATCAAAGTGTTGTACACCTTGGCAGTGCTCACACTAAAGAAAAAGCTCAAAGCTTATAATAAAAAAAGACAAGACAAGCCAAACCAGTCACTCGTCGAAAATCTTGTTGCAGAGATACTGTAATGGCCAAAACATGCTGGAATGTCAAAATTTTGGAAATCTATTTAATTGCACTAAACTAACATTTATATATCGATATATCATGCTATGCTGTTGTTTTTCCCATTTTCAATGTCAAAACAACACTTTTTAACAATTTGGTGATGGTTTCTGCCTATAGAAATGCCAGAAATCGTAAATTTTAAAGGCTGATTTCTCAAATATTGTTCTTTAAACAGCTGTTTGTTTAAAACTCCTGTAACTTCATAACAAAATGTCAGATTTAAATGATGCTTTTTACTATTTTATAACTCTCATTTTAGTGGTTAAAGTAACTCTGTATTAATAACTAAAAATCAATTTTTGCAACAAGTGACTGGTTTGGCTTGTCTTTGCCACAAATATGGTAACAAATTAATTATTTGATATGCTTCATTTTTCTCCTTGCAGGGGACATGGCACTTACATGGTTGAAGAAAATTTATATGCGTCTGTGGCTGGGATGGTGGAGAAGGTCAACAAACTGATATGTGTACGACCTTTGAAAACAAGGTTCTTAAGACTTGTATATTATTTTCAATATTTTTTTGCATCCAATTGCATTGTATCAAGTATACTAGCTAATTGCAGGATGGAAGCATAAGGGAGTGGTGTAGCTGATGGATATTATTGTGATATATCTCACAAGAATTGGAACATACATGCAAAAATTGTTTTTTATGGTCACTGGATGTCAACAATTCAATAGGAAGGGGCACATAGGGACTTTCTCCAATTTTACCTTTTTTTTTTTTTTTTTTTTTCTTTCAAACTTAGTATTTTGGTGCACAGGAAACTGCATTAAATCATGTAGATAATACTTACCTGTGGGATTTGAACCCAGGTTATATACCCCAGAGGTATTTTAGGGGGGGGGGGAACATTTGTTACACATCCCAATTTAATGCATAATTAAATTTAATATTTTTTTTGCTCCAAACCACTAAATGTACTACTGTTTTGCTATAATAATGTAAAGATAGCATTTTGTCCTGAAGGCATTTGTTCAAGATAATTTTCATGGTTGGAGGCACAAAAATATTTTTTCAAGGCCTGTCCAGGTCACTGGGTTGTGAAGGAAAAGCACATCATCATCACAAAAATATCTGCCTACAAATTCTATAAATCTTTGTCCAATATTTCTGTTCAAAAATAGGTTGAAAGTTCACATTATCATGACAGCATGCTGAAATATAATTCAAATGTTCTTTATTTATTTCTGTAATTTGATTGATTTAGATATAATGGTGAAGTTGGGGATGTTATTGTCGGAAGAATCACAGAGGTAAGAATTAAATTTATCCACTAGCTAAGAACTGATGATAAAAACAATTATTTTTGATAATAAATAATAATAATTGTCATTTGTAAAGCACCTAACCAAAAATAAAAAAAATAAAAAATAAATAGTATGCCCGTAATCAAAACCTTAATATTTTGCTCTGTGTCTCATTGCACGTTTCTAACTAATTTTGTTCAATGTTTTGATGGAAATTTCAGATTTTTATCACAACAGTATTTTTAACCACTCTTTCGTCAGTCTCTACCCACAACTAAACAAATATTTGAATATGATTGAAAGAATTATGACATTGAAAGATTAGACAAATAAATATGTCAGTAATCATGGCCGGCAGAACAGGGGGCCTATTTACTGTATTTAAGTCATTAAAAGTCGGGAAAGCTCATTTCCCGCCATTTAGAAATTAATGTTTTCCCGGGGACAACCCGAACCCCTCCTTTCTCTTTGGGTTCATTGATTCATAGAATCGTTTTCAAGAGGGGAAACCCTTGAATTTTGAAGAACTTAAAAGTCATTAAAAGACACCTCAGAAGTCAGAAAAGCTCATTTCCTTCTAGGAATAAAAATTTTCCCGGGGTCTGCAAGCCCTGGTAATTATTAACAAATAAAAACATTAAGAATTATCTAATTAATAAATAATGTATGTTAGAAAATATTTATAATTACCAGTGTCAGTGTTTAGCTGGTACTGTATAATGTTGCTAGTGGGGCACAACGTACTCCTCACTAGCATGTAGTATTAACTTCTTTAACATGAGTTTCATTTGGGTAAGTCCATTCATTTGAGTATGAATTTGGTAATTGCTATCTATACATTTGGGTAATTCCTATTCATTTGGGAAAATCCCTTTCATTTTGGTAATTTTTGAATGTAAAAAGAAGCTGTGAGTAATTAATAAAATTCGCTGAATCAGGTTGGTCAAAAAAGATGGAAAGTGGACACAAACTGTCGCTTGGATTCCATGTTAATGCTTTCGTCAGTGAATCTACCTGGTGGAGAATTACGAAGAAGATCAGCTGAAGACGCACTTTCAATGAGAGACTATCTCACAGAGGGCGATCTAATAAGTGTATGATTTGCTTTTTTTCTCACTTTGAATAATACTTAAAACTTGAACTTGAAAATATAAAACAAGAGATTTTAAAAATGTAATTCTGAAGATATTTTGGTTATTTATTTTTTCTTATAACTAACCTTATTTATTTATTTATTTTAAGGGGTGCCTTTCCAGGGCTCGATTTAACTTTCTTTGGTGACTAGCCCAGTGGGCTAGTTTACTGTATATTTCACTAGCTCATTGGCTATTTTACTAGCCCAATCATTGGCTACATTTTACATCAGTAACATTATGTTCTTTGCCAAGCATACTTGAAGCAATAGTTTATAACTGATCACTGGCCCGCCAGGCTAGTAATAAGGTAGATTTACTAGCCCAGAGGAGTTTTTACTGGACATTGTATGACAGACTAGTACTAAATCGAGCCCTGCTTTCTATCCCTCACTTTATTAAAACTACTTATTGTTATTAATATTTTTTTCATTTTTTTTCTTAATCTATTTTTTACATATATAGTAATGTTAATTAACCTAGTCAGTAGTTATTGTGCACTTTGAGCCATATCATTGTCATAGCGCCACTGAACAATTGCATTCTTCCGTAGATATTTGCATTATACTGCACAACTCCATGTTGATTTATTTTATTGAATAACAATAACATGGTTTGTAAATTAAAACATATATATGAATATATTACAAATTAATTTTATATCTGTATCAAATGTAATTATACTATTATATATTTATAATATTTTTATGTCAATCCTTAATAATAAAATTAATTTTGCCCCAAGGCTGAAGTACAAACCATTTACCAAACAGGCGTTGTCTCTCTCCATACAAGAAGTTTGAAATATGGGAAGGTAAGTGCAATTAATTGTCTGTCTAATTATAAGTAGTGTTAAGTCCCACAAATTATTACTGGCTACTGTATGTTCTCACTCGGCAGCTAGCGGTTAGCAGGATCCAGATCCTGCTAACCGTTAGCTACCGTGCATCCATACGAGAAGATTCCGATCCGGATACCAAGAATATGATGATCGAATCACTGGCCAATAAGAAACTGGAAATTGTAAACACGTACATATGATTGGTTAATGATAGCGCTTGCTAACCGTTAGCGCTAACGGTTAGCTCCCGATTCGGATACTAGGTCTCTTGTGAGAACCAGGCTACTATATTATTACTAATATGTGCATTTCTGCATTTACAGTTAGGTCAAGGAATTTTAGTGAAAGTCTCACCTTCATTAGTGCTACGACGCAAAACTCATTTTCACAAGCTTCCATGCGGAGCTACGGTTATCCTTGGTAATAATGGATACATTTGGATCAGTCAGAATTCAAATGAAGAAGATGAGGAGATGGCTGGGGGATTTATACAAAACTTAGAGGTAAGACAAAATAAAAAAAGAAAACTTTCAAATATTTATAAACATGAACAAAATAATTTGACTGTTAAAGAAAATTTTCTCAAGAAGACTTTGTTGGTAAGGTGCTTTCTGTCCTAATCCTAATAATGATAAACATTACTTTAGTGTTCTTTTTCTACAGAAATTTAATATTGAATAATATATCTGATTTTTTTTGTGCTTTTTATTTTATCTTACATCAAACATCAGATTGTTTTATGATTATTGTGGGAATATTCTTCATTTCTGCTCGATAAATTATAAGATCTAGTCCATTGGCAATAATTTATTAAATATATTTTCCAGTAACACATAGTCTTGTATGATCAGATAAATAAGGGTGATATTTTAAAAACCTGAACTGTCATTTCTTCTTTTAGCCTGTGCCCATCGCTGACAGAGAGGTCATTGTGCGACTTAGTAATTGCATCAGAGCTCTTGCACGTCACAGGATGATGTTGTATGATACAAACATCCTTTATGCCTTTGAGGAATCATCAAAATACCAGGTAATTTTTTTTTTTTAATTTGCAGCTCTGCCAGTGTATATATTATTACAATTTCTGACAAGATTTTTTTTACTTGATTTATTTGATGTACATGTACGGATATAGGAACATCAGAGTTGAAAAAGTTGAAAGCATTGTTTGCTTGAATTGACTTTGATGATGGAGAATCTTTAGCTTTCGAAAAAACCAATAAACATGATATATTGTGGGTATTTTTAGAATGGTAATTATGCATAAATGGATTTGTATTCTGATGGAAGGAGTGATTGATATGATAAAGGTAAGTATTAGATTTGGGGTCATTGACCAATATAATAACTATATAACTTTAAGTAAATACATTATCTTCTTCTTTTGCATTTATTCATGAAGGAAAAAATTAGAACTGTAAAACCACAGAACCTGTCAGCAGCACTCATCACAAAAGTATGATTTATCTTGTCTGTGTTAGAGGCGTATCTAGGAGTCTTAAAATGGGGGTGGGGACTGATGATGGTGCAAAGTAATGTGAGGGGGGCTCGACGATTAAATGAGTGGGAGCTAGCTCACAAAGTAAGGCGATATGACGTAATTTTTAATCTATTTGTCGAGCATGAACTTTTTGCTACAAATATTTTTAAATAGGAAGGCAGGGCGCAAGGTTTTTTTGGGAGAGCGTGTGTCCCCTGCGCACAACCCTAGATACGGCATTGCTGTGCATTCATGTTTTTTAAAATTTTTAATCTTTGAATATTAATTTTGAATATTTCTTTAATTCATTTTAACAAGATAGATAGAATATAAAAGATAAACTAAAGTTTTCAGAATTCAGTAATTACAATTAAAATTAATTAAAAAGGAATTGAAATGCCACAAATTACAGTAAAATAAGTTAAAATAACAGGATATATACAAAATACAAGAGATTTATTGTAAGCTTTTTTGAATTCAGTAGTTGCAATAAAAAAGTTAAAAAGACATTGACGTACCACAAATTACAATGAAATGCACTAATTTAAAATAACGGGATTACGATATATGAAATACAATACATTACAATATTAAAAAATTAATTCATATTAAAATAAGTGCTGTTACAAGTAAAAGAATAGATAAATATATAAACATAAAGTATTGTGGGGATTAAATATCTGTAAAACAACAGTGTGATGTAATTCACCACAATTTAATACTTTTTTGTAACAGCCAGTAGGCCTACACTGTTTACAAAAATGAAATACATAGATGCTGTATAAATGTTATTTCAAAGTGGGTCTTGAGTGAGTTGAGCTTTTTAAAGCTTTGAGATATTTGACAGAGTTTAAAGTCAGGAAATTTAAATGATAAGGGAAGGAACTACCTGTACTTGGAAGGCGCTATAAGGTTTCATGGGGATCTTCTATAATGAATGCGTAAAAACCATACATGGTTTTTTGAGTCAAATATATACCTCTGAAACGGGTTTAGCCAGAAAAACGATATAGGCCGTCCAAAATGGAAGCCAGTAGGCGTGGCACTGAGCCGATTGGCGGGCCACGCCCTCTTGGGGCCACTTCCATGAGAATCCCCACCGAATATTGGTACGAAAACAACATACATTCAATCAATAAATGTTGTTTTTATCAAACGTAAATATGATTTAGCTTTAGTTTAATATAACATTCGATAGATTTGAAGAATATAAAGAATTTGCTAAAGGTAGACCAGGCCCAATTATTCTAGGCTGAGCTGATTAGGCCAAGCCGTCCAAGCCGTCACGGCAAAAGTGGCCGTCCTAAATAATTGACGGCCAGACAGCTCGCTGGCTAAGCCTATGCTCTAAAAAAGTCTCTCATTTAAAGCTGAGTAAAATAGGATATTTTTTTTTGCTTGTTTTGAAGAAAACATCTCATAATCTGTGGGATTGAACTTTGACATTAGAAAGCAAAGACTGTCACCACTAAGCTACTGTACTGTACCTTGAGAATTTCTAAAAGAATCACCAAAAAGAAAGTGCTCGGAGACAAATTGATCAACCATTATGACTACATTAATGATATTCTCCCAGGCAATATTACATTTTTTTGTCTTTTTTTGTCTTGACAACATTTGTTTAATTACGCTAGAGTGAAGAGAAAAATTCATATGGGAAAAACTGACAAATTGACAAGTTTTCTGAAGAAGTTTAACAGAGAGGTCGTTGATACAATGGACTAAATAATAGGCAGCCCTACAGATAATTACCTATTTAATTCTAGCCATATTTTGAAAGGTGACTTAATAATGTATGTTTGCTTTGGCCCAGTGCATTACAGATGGAAGCGCAAAGGTGTGGCAGGCACAGCCGAGCTTTCGGATTACAACCGAATGTTCATTGGCTGTGTCCACTAAAGGTCACTTTGAGTGTCCTTTTGCTTATATGATTCTCCATTTTGTTACATTTTCCCATAATTTACAATATAATTTATCATCATACTACAAAAATGTTTATTCTACAATTCTATATTAAATGTGTTATGTTACTCAAGAAAAAACTAATTCCTCCATGGCTGTACAAGTATTATACCTCCCGGGGAGACAGTGCATGTCTGTGTGATGGCCATGTAATAATTATCTTCCTTGTAAATTTGTTAAAGCAGAATTATTAATGAAAATTACAAGGAAAACAATTTCCTCACCAATTATTTTTACATAGGTCAGATATTTGCTTGAATTATCAGTAGAATTGTTATTGGCACATAAATACAAATTTTGTTATACATAAACATGATATTTCTTTGCTATACCATACATCTTAATTTAGGCAAGACTTTTTATTTCTTGTTTTGCGTACTTACTTTTTTAAAAATTATCGGAGGAGGGGGGGGGGCAGAATAAAAATAAAATTTTTGTTTTCTTATTTAGCAAATGGTTTCGCCAAAATCTTCCAGACAGTAGAGAGAATAAAAATAAAATTTTATTGGTGAATGTAAGCGGAGGGTGTAAATAAAGAAAAACTTTCATTTTTTTCTCAAATTTCCACTTTTTCATGGCCGCGGGTGCGCTAATTGACCAACAATAAAATTTTATATTTATTTGAAATCATCAATATTTGCAATCGGCGGGTTCGGTAAACAAGGTATTAAAAAAGTCTTGCTTTAACACTGCTCAATGTGTAACAGATAAAAATCATGTAAAAAAGTACATAAAATTCACTACCATTATTTATTTTAATGTGTAGATTAAAGAACTGCTTACAACCGAAGTCATTGATGATGTTGTAGAACGGACCCGGATTCGTCTTGAACAAGAGCAAGCATAGGTGTTAGTGATATCCTTGTGCTGAACCATAAAAGGCTGGCTTAGAAAACGTAGTAAGACACAGCCCCCGACATGATTTAATGTCACCTTTAAGTCGAAAAAAATGTTTAAAAATCTCTCTGCACTCGCACCCGATAGGGTTAAAAATCGCATCAGGCTACGTTTTACTGAGTTGGCATTGACTTTGTGATTCAATTGGCAATTTAGCCTCATCTATGCTAACCTCACCTAGCTTAGCCAGGCCAACCTATCCTTGCCTAACATGAACCCATCTGCATTCATTTCATCTTGGCTTACAAAACAGTAACTAGAGACAACAAAAAATCAAAGCAAGGTTCAATGTTACATAAACATTCAGCATGCCTGCTGTTTGCACCTAATGAAAGGTGATGGAATTGAATTGAAGGTCTTTTGCTAAGGGTGTAAATTTTAATAAAAGTTTCCTTTTGGAAAGTCAAAAAAAGAAAAAATAAAGAAAGAAAGAAAAAGAAAAAATTGATCACCCAAAACGC